TGGCCTGGAAACAGAGCTTCAGGGCCCAAAAGTTGAAGATCTTGCCGAGGCACCAACCTAGCCTGGGATCTCAGCTTAGATGTCTTATGCAGGGCCAATAATCTGATGAGTGTGCACGTTCTCAAATTCTCCGAGTGAGACACAAAAAAAATCCACCAGGCACGACTCCTTCCTGCAAAGGAATGAGGGGTTGGCATTGATTTCTCTTCCAGCTCTGTGTGTTGCTTCTTGCCTAGAACCATTCCCTGTTTTAAGCATCTAAGTTACCTGCATATGCCCATCCTTAAACGGTTTTTCTAAAATAGGATGATAGCAAGAATTAAGTCTCCTATTATTCTGTGCAGCCCAGAAAAATCTGAGCATAAGGTAAAGAATGGAGGAAGGGAACTAACATTTGTTGAATAATGACTATGATAAGGCATTTTTCCTTTATTCTCTTTCTTAATCCTCTCAATAGCCATTTGTGGTACATCTGAATCTGCCTGGTGAGTAAGGTTTAGGTTCCTCAAGACAGAGAAGGTATGGCACCTGCATACCTATATTTCCTTCTGGAGCATCTGACAAGACACCTTGCCTACTAACTGTTGTTATGTATATATAATACAAACACACTATAATATCATACCTACCTATTCACATACAGTGTTACCTATTTACCTCCTTTATTTTCAGTTCCAATTCCACAAGCATTTATTGGCTATTTTGTATCGGGGTTGATGCTAGCTAGATAATATAGGCAGACCTGGAGGTGGTATCAAAGACGAAGGAATTTGGGATAATTCCTAGGTTTTCTGCTGGGGAAAGAGTTTAAGTTATTTTTCTTCAATAAATGTGCATATTCAGCAAGGAGATAGCTATCTCTTTTTTCTTCTTTGGGGCTTCTTTCTTGCTAAGCTTTGTGATAAATTGATTGCCTGCATTCTTATTCAATTTTCACAAATATATATGGTAGGTGACATAATTAGCATTATTTGAGAGATGACTAGCTGAGGCTTGGAGAGTAACTTGCCCAGTTTTCACAAGATGACAGTAAGTAGGCGGACAAGCTTAAGGTTTACATTTTGGACTAATTGACAAATAGGTGGTAGTTAATTGCTATGGTTTGGAAATAGTTGGTTTGTTACCACTGAGGCTCATGTTGAAATTTGATCCCAGTGAGGGTGAGCTGGGGGTGGGGCCTAGTGGGGAGGTGTTTGGGTTATGGCAGTGGATCCCTCATGAATGGCTCAGTGCTATTCTAGTGTTAGTAAATACATTCTTGCTCTCACAAGACTGAATTAATTTTCAGGAGAATGAATTCTTATGAGCAGGTTGTTATGAAGCTGGGATGCCCCCTAAGGTTTCCTTCTCTTCACACATGTCCACTTCCTCTTTTACCCTCTCTTCCATATTGTGATACAGCAGAATAGGTCTCACCAGAAGCCAGGACTTGCTCAGACTGGAGAAGCTAAATAAACCTATTTTCTTTATAAATTACCCAGTCTCAGGTACTCTTTTATAGAAACATAAAACAGACCAAGACATACCCATAAAAAGGTATGAGATCTTCTAAGAACAACCTATGTATTTCGAAGGACAGTAAAATAAAGACCAGAACTCTGGAGAATATAAATATTTAAGAAATGAGCAGAGGCCGGGCGCGGTGGCTCACGCCTGTAATCCCAGCACTTTGGGAGGCCGAGGCGGGTGGATCACGAGGTCAAGAGATCGATACCATCCTGGTCAACATGGTGAAACCCCGTCTCTACTAAAAATACAAAAAATTAGCTGGGCATGGTGGCACAAGCCTGTATGCCAGCTACTCGGGAAGCTGAGGCAGGAGAATTGCCTGAACCCAGGGGGCGGAGGTTGCGGTGAGCCGAGATCACGCCATTGCACTCCAGCCTGCGTAACAAGAGTGAAACTCCATCTCAGAAAAAAAAAAAAAGTGAACAGAGAAAAAGGAATATACTGTGAAAACCGAAATAAGTGGTCAGAGAAATAAAGGAGCAGGAGAATAACATATTTTTTAAAAAAGGATGGTCAACACTATCAATTATAGCAGAAGCATTTAGCAAGCTAAGGCCTGAGGAATACTTATTGCATTTGTCAATGTGCAGGTCACTGATGTCTTTGGCTAAAGCTGCTTTTAGTGGTATATGCAGAGTGTCCAGCCAGTGGTTTGAGGAGAAGATGGGCTTAGCGAAACTATTCTATGTTCCAACTGAATGTATTGGGTCTCCCAGCTGATAGCAGAGTAAATCTGTTACCAGATCATTACTTGGAAATGGATTTTTGGTCTGACTTCCTTTGATTATTAAAAAATTTCAAAATAATTCAATGGAGCTATTGGATAAAGAATAGAGCATAGGAGAAATGCTCCTGAAATAACACTTATTGTTACAATAACCAGAATTGGAAGGGTAAAGGAAAGTTCCTTTCAGGCCTGACATAAAGACTCCTTCTAAAAAAATTAACATATGGACCCTGCAGAATCCATGTTACATTTCAGTCTTTTTCCCTGTGTCATTGTTAATTAATATGTACTAGATTGTTAATCATAAGAAGGAAAGCATTTTTATTCCCACAGCATGTTATTTCCTAAGAGTAGCTCTATCTTTATGTGTCATGGAACCTGTGACCTGTCACCTGATTATCATGACAGTTTATTAACATGTCAGGGAGTGAAACTCCTGGCTTCCACCTCAAAGGGGAAATTGCTTAGGGTGGGAGACATTCTGCTAGCCAGATAAGGCAGAGTTCTGCCAACTTTCAGTGCCAGGGAAACCCTAGACAGTAATCAATACCAAACCTAACTATTAATAGGACCACCCAAAGGCACATGGCTGGGAACCAAACCTCTTTCTTACCTTGGTCTGATCTATTGGCAAGTTTCCTTGCTAGATCTAGCTTTGCTCCCATTTACATGGGGAGGAATTTAAAAACAGGAGTTATTTTAAAGGTGATAGGGCAGAAGGAGCGGTTGGAAAGTGGGTCTCAGATGCTGGAAAGGTCACAAGGGAGAAGTTTCTGGTTAGTTACATCATGCAGGGCTTCAAACTTCAAAAAATAGTAATTGATGGATGGAAGTCAAAGCTAAAGCCAAAGAAAGGCCTACACATGTTCAGAGATTTTGAGTTAGAAATTCTCTTTTTCCAGCTCTCTTCCCACCCACAAAAGTCACATGGGGAAAGCAAAGCAGTGATTAAGGAACTACAGGGGTAACAGCAGGCTATTCTCCGGGGCCTTCTCAACGCCCAGGCCAAGTCTGCCGTCTGCTTGGGAGATGAGTATGTGCTCTCTGCCAAAGCTTCCTCAAGTCCCCTCTCCTGACATCTTTCTGCCAGATGGTCGTTCAGATTCTCAAGGTGCTTGGCCCTCCTGGTTCCTGCAACATCAGCCAAGCCCAGGGAACTTTGGTTCACCAATTTCCCCCTTGCTCTACCCCCTTGAAAGCAGGACCTGTAACCTGAGGGTCCAGTAGAGGCTAAAAGCAGCGACCTATGTAGCTCTGGGAAGGAGCTTCTGGCTTGCCTATGGGTGCCTGGAGTAGAGCATCAGCTGTGGCTGGGAGGGTTCTGGGAGCACCTTCTCCAGCTCAAGCATGCCTTTTGTGTTTATGAAGTGAATGCAGTCTCGGCTCTGTCTTGAACTTTCCTGTAGGATTATCTCCATATTTTAAAATTACACTTCGGACTCTCAAGAAATTGCAAATGTGTGTAAACATAATCAGAGTGTGGATCCAATCCACTTGTAATTGCTAATAGAAAAAAAGGAAAAGGAAAAAACCCACAAAGACCCAAACAAGCAAAAAAAGAAAAAAAAAAAAAAAAAAGGCGGGTTGGGAGTGAGGAATCAATTCTGCAGGGTTTGCCTTTGTGATTTGCTTCCTGGGGGACTCTCCCAATGCGTCCGGAAGCCCACCCTGCCTCCCGACTCCCTGCGGTGATGTACGGCTAGGGAAATTCAGGGCTTGGCCCCTGCAGCTGAGGCCTATGGGATATCTCAGGAAAAGGCCGCCTCTCCCGAGTGGTGAAGTGTCCCTCAAGCCTTCGCGCTCTGGTCGCCTCCGCGGAATTCTGAGAAAAGCACTGCAAAACGGCAGGAGAGGGCCCTGCTGCTTGCCTCGCGCTCCCCGGGGACGGCGACTAAGTCCTCGAAGCCGCTCTTCCCTTTCCCTGAGTACCCTGGGGCTCTGCCCCCGAGTTCCAGCTCTGAGGACTCAAGGACACTCTCTGTCCCTCACTCTTCAAAGACCACCTCCATTTCTAGAGGTGGGCTCCCCGACCTTGCGCTTTTAAAGCTGCAGGAGCCGCGCTGCACAGGTCAGACAAGCCCAGCACTTTGGCCAGTATTTGAGCTCCGAGTCCGAAAGACATTTGGGGAAAATATCGCACATGGAAATATATATATACATATACATATATATATATATATGTATATATATACATACATATACACATATATACATACATGTGTATATGTATGTATATATATGTATATATATATATATATAGAGAGAGAGAGAGAGAGAGAGAATCGATAAATTAGCAAACGTGTCTGGTGTTTTTCTTGAAACCGTTAGCACTCTAGTCGGTATTGGTAGGATTGGTTGATATTAACACGAATGACAAGTGGGACAAGTGGGTGATTTTCAAGAAGCGCCTGGTCCCTCTAGAAAATGCGTTCGAATATCAGCAGAGACATCTGCGTTTGCCTCCGGATGCCCATCTATAAACTCTCTTCCTTGTGGCTACTCCTCGCTCACCAACCATACTGACCGTTCTCCCGAATAAGGCAACTTCCTTGGAAGGACGATCTCTCCCTAACTGACCGAGGACACTGTATCTTTAGGGGTAACATCATGTCTTGGGGATGCCAAAAGTCCCCAGCCCTTACCCAGACCTTTGTGACGAGGTGCAGTTCTGTCCGTGTAGGGGACAAACAGCAACATTAAAACGCAACTGTGTAAATGAGGATGGAGAAAGCCAAAGGAGGGAGAAGCGAGGAGCTGCTCCACTTCTAGGGAGGGTTGAGGGAGGCTGATCTGCTGCAAGGGCAGACCGCTGGGAAGGGAGAAACGGCCCACGTGGAACGGTTGCCCGGTGGAAACCTCTCTACGCTATTAGATTGCATCCAGTACAGCAGATGGCACGAGCGCGTGCGGCGCTCAGCTTAGGCTCTCGGAGGCAGCTGAGCTGGAAATCCCGACGGAAGGCACCCATAGGCTCCCACTCTGCGCTGGCCCACCCGCGTGCACGCCCGCCCCCCCACTGGCGTCCCGCTCGTCTTGGCTCAGACGCGGACAGATGTTTACTGCTTAGAGCCGGTACCGCTGGGGAGATCTAGCGACCTTCACGGAGCACAGTGCAGCCCTGGCAGCGCTCCGGGCTCCCGGTCGGGGGTTCGAGTGGCTCGGGAATGGGGGCGGGTTGGGGGGAGTGGGTAGGGGGCGAAGGACTGCAGAGAGGAGCGGGGAGTGGGTGGACTAATGATGAAAAAGTCTCCTCCATCCCTGCTCCTTAATTAAATGCGTGGAAAGAACCGAGGGGAGCACATCTGGTTTCAATCTGCAGCCCTTTGATGGCATCAAATGTTCTTTTCCCAGATCAGGGCTGGAAGTTCTGGGCTAACTATGGCTGTTTGGAGCCCAGAAACCATTTACACACACTCGGACCCTTCTTTCTCTCCAGTAGAGCCTCTCGGCTATAGGACGAGAAAAAAAGTCTAGCAATCAAGGGAGGATTGTGTATACATGTGTGTATGTGCGCGTTTAAAGAACATAAAACTCCACAAATAAGCACTTAATATTTTACTTAGTCGTCATATAGTAACTCATTTCTAATGAGACTATTAAAGCTGTTACCAAATTCCAACAGTTCATGAAAAAACTGCTCAACACCTCTCTGTCTTCTGTCAAGTTAGGGCTCCGCAGACGGACGACAGAGCATTATCCTTAAACTTAGATGGGGGTTCCTCCGCCCCTCTCTGTCCTCCCTCTACCACAGCCAGGCCGGACGCTGAACCGCACGGAAGCCTCTGCGACTCCTGCCTCTAGGAGTGCTTCAGCCAGCTCCAAGGAATCTGCGCAGCGGGACCCTCTGGGTTTTGCGTCCTCGCCTGGGGAAGCAACCTTGGCGGTACCACAGAGGTTACAAAGTTGGCGGGGGTAGGGAAAAGATTATAATATATTTCTGGAGTCCTTTCCTCCAGCTTAATAAACAAGTACATTTCTCATTGCCCTAGCCCTGGTATTTCTAATGGCGGGGAAAGCCTCAAATAAATTCGATGCCCTCTAGATCTCCCCAACCTGCCTTTAGTCTTTGCGAGAGGAGTGAGAGAGCCTCCCATTACTATCCCTCTTGTTATTTTATTACATTATTTAATAGGCTCCCTCTACAGAACCAAAAATAGCCTTAATTTCTCCCTGTACTCACCCCAAAACTGTTAAAACAGCAGAAAATCTTTTTTTTAAAAGGTCGTGGGGGAAGGCAGAAGAAGAAAATTTGATTGTGATAGTGGTGGATTTTTTCCAATTTCCCCACAGCTGTTATCAAAACATGCAAATGAGATTTTCCAGCAGGATCTTAAACAAATCTGGAGGAGTTAATGCCGAAGCAAAATAATCAGCACGTTTGAAGTGACTGAGTTTCAGTTTGTCTTTTCTCCCCGATATTATTGCAGGAGAATGATAATTAGACCTTTAGAAACCCAAAGGGGCTCTCTTGCTCTCTTCTCTCTCTCATTTCTTCCTCCTCCCCTCTTTCTCTCTCCCTCCCTCTCTTTCTCTATCCCTCCCTCTCTCTTGCTCCCTCCCTCTCCCTTTCTCTCCCGCTCTGAGGTTGGCAAAGGGGGGTTTCTTAATCAGACTGTTTTTGGTCCCAGGGAAAGGAGGAAGAAGGAGATTGTGATGGAGAAAGGGGGTCTGTGAAACGTCAGGCACGGCACAAAGGCTTTGCCACGTAATTACAGGCTCCTATTAAGTCGAGATCTGCCCTCCCAGGGGTCTCCAATTTTCTTGTATTCCCTACAAAGCCTCCTCTGCATGCCAGTTTGTGCCTTTTGATGTGCCAGAGAGCTTCTTGATCCAACTGAGAAGGAAAAAGGAGCCCAGCAAGAAGAGGGGGAGAGAGAGAAGGGAAAGGGGGGAACCCACCAGCACCCTCCGTCGGACTCTTGAAGCCCCAATTTTTTTTTAATTCTTAATTTTTTTTTTTTTTCTCCTTACAAAAAGTAAAGTGAGAATCCTGCTCTCTAATACATCTGCAAGACATCACCCTCTCCTCCTGAAACTTTAGTCACTCCTGAGAATCCACAGGAGTGCAGAGAGGGGGAAACACGTTTTCTTGAAGATGTTTTAAAGCTGGAACAAGCCTTCTTCTGTTGGTGCTTGAACTCTTGCCTGGGAATAACTTTTTTAACCTTTAAAAAAAACCCTTCACTTTGATTCTTCTCACCCACCCCTTCTTCTCTCTTCTTCTGTTTGCCTAACTCCCCCGCCCTGCTGGCCTCCGCTTTCCTTTCTCCCCCTTATTATTATTTTTAGTCTGTGCTTGTGGACGCTTTTGGAGAGTTGGAAGGGATTTTTTTTCTCCTGACTTGAACATAGGGTGACTTTTTAATATTGTATTTTGGTGTGGATTATCTCTTTGGACCGCGCCGGACTTGGCCTCAGGAAAGCAACCAAGGCTGCGGAAGGCGGCTGGTGCAGAACGCTCTGCTCTACAGAAGGGGGTCCCCCGCCCTCTTTTCCACTTTTTTTTTTTTTGGCCTTCCTCTCTTTCCCTCCCTCTTCCTCTCTCTCTCTCTCTCTCTCTCTCTCTCTCTCTCTCTCTCTCTCTCTCTCTCTCTCCACTGCCCCCCTCTTTCTTCCCCACTCGGCTCCTCTCCCCCCTCGCGCCCACAGCGTTTGGTGTTGATTCGAGCGGGAAGAGGGGGGTGGGTGGGATCGGTGGGGGAGACCATGACCTCCAGCTACGGGCACGTTCTGGAGCGGCAACCGGCGCTGGGCGGCCGCTTGGACAGCCCGGGCAACCTCGACACCCTGCAGGCGAAAAAGAACTTCTCCGTCAGTCACCTGCTAGACCTGGAGGAAGCCGGGGACATGGTGGCGGCACAGGCAGACGAGAACGTGGGCGAGGCTGGCCGGAGCCTGCTGGAGTCGCCGGGACTCACCAGCGGCAGCGACACCCCGCAGCAGGACAGTGAGTGAGGGGCGCATGCCCACGGGGGTGTGTGCCCGGGACAGAGGGCGGGGACCGGGGTAGGGCAGCGCGGGCCCGTCCGGGGCCAGAAAGAGAAAGTCCTGGGACTAGGAGAGGTGGTGGGAGACTTCAAAGGAAGGGCCAGTCACAGAGGAAACCAGATGTGAAAAGCCGGTCTCGGCCGAGGGCATAACCAAGGAGGAAGCTAGAGAGAGGCTCCGAGGCCCGGGGACACTCCAAGGCCCTGAGGTCGGAGACAGGGACTCTGTCCGCCGCGAACTCTCTTTACTTCAGCCAGGCTCGGGTTCGGTTCATCCCGCAGCGGAGCGGCGGGGCAGGGCTGGGAAAAAAGGTCTTAGCTGGGCGCAAACTCAGAGAGCCATCGCTGTTTGGGAAAGCAGCGGGTTAAGGATGCTGAGTCGGGTTGAAAGGACTTCTGTCAGGCAGCGTATGACGGATTGAGGGAGGGCACCAGACACAGGCAGCAGGACTGGTGCTGCTCAGGCTGCACACTCCACGCGGGCACAGAAGGCCGGGCGCAACAGGGAGGCCGCGAAAGAACGCCCTGCCCGAGACGCTGGAGCTGCTCTCTGCCCCCTGCTGTCGCCTCCACCGCAAATGGGTTTGAGACTGGCAGAGTCAAAAGCCCGGCTGACTCGGGCAAACTCAGGCCAAGCAAAGGGAATGTCCTTTACGGGTGAAACCTGAGATCCAGCCCCGCGTGATCCCGCACAGGCGAGCTGCATCCTGGAGGCGCGGCTTCAGTGCTGAGGCCAGTGTCACCTTCGAGGAGCAATCCCTATTGCTTCTGAAACGTCTGGAAAAGTACTTCCCCATCCTCACGACCAGCCTCACGCCCCTGAAAATCTCGCTTTGCTTTAGTAATGGTTCCTTAAAAAGAGAGGGCAATTGTATGCCCATGTTCCCGAGTCTGTAACAGTCGGGTCACCCAGTTCATCCCAGGTGACATGTGCCAGACACGCAGAGATACTCCCTCTTCTTGAGGTTGCAAGAGTCTGAACTTAGCTGTAAGTTCTCAAATGAGGCTGATCGCTTTCGATGTCAGTAGTTGCTGGATACCATTTTGTCTTAAAATTTGGAAACCGTGGAACCAGGGGGCTCGCCAGCATTCTGTGATTTTCACAAAACATTGCCTATTTCAGACCTTCGTAAAATAGACATACAAATCAAACTGAACATAGAAACAATTGAAAACAGGGCCTGGGCATAGTGGTGGCCCCAAGGCCCACGCTAAAGCAAGCCGCAGAGAGAGCCTATGGCGTGCTCAAGGCGCCAGTCGTCACCCTGCTTCCTTACTGGCCTGGGTGCCTCTCGGTGTTTTTAGCCAAAAGAGGCCTAGGGCTGATCCGCCCACTGCACTAGCAAAGGGCTGCAGAAGCTGGATGAGGAAGTCTGGCCTGGACACCAGAGAAAAGTGGCCAACTCCGAGGAATGAAGAATCGGGTGCCCCCAGGTTCCACATAAAGGGCTAGGTGCAGAGGCAGAGATGTTCTGTTTAGCGTTTTGGTGCTAGAGGGGCTGCTTCTGCTGCCCACACCGCAGCGTGAGTTAAGTGTTTGCATGAGCACTCTTAGCTATAACAAAATGCACTGAGAAATAGTATGGTTGTTTTTAAACGTTTTACTACGGAAAATGAAAAACTAAAAGAGTAAGGAGACTAGCATTCCATGTAGACCCCAGCTTCGTCAATTCTGCACATCAGGTCATTTCTGTTTTGCCAGGACTACTTATTAATTGCGACATTTACCACTGTTCGAACACTAGAGATTGGACTCAAACAGAAAACAGGGCCACGAAGAAACTTCTGCTTAGAAGACCAGAGTGGGGCAGGAGAGACTAGACATTGCTTTGCCCTATGATGAGGCAGGAGGATGAGAAAAGCAAGGCTAAGGCCAGCCGCCTCAGCCAGCCTGGGGACCAACCCAGCTCTGGTGGCCCTCGGATACTGCGGAGGAAGAGGGGTGCAAATTATACCGATTGTTTGGCTCTGAGTGGACACCATGAGAAGGGAGGTCGGGATTTAGGGATTTGTCATGGCCTTAGAGTGGGTATGGAGCGGGATTGGCCAGAGGAAGCCAGCTGTGGAGCGCCCCAGAGCAGATTAGGAGGCACCGCGGAGGCCCAGAGGAGCATGTGGCCTCTGCAGGGGTGCTCAAGGACAAGCTCAGGATTGCAGGCAGAGTTGGGGACTGTGTGTCCTGGGAAAAGGGGAGACTCTAAAACTCGCCCACGTGATACTCGTGATACTAGGGGCCATCTCAGAGTTACAATGACTAGAGAGGCCTTGTGGGGAGAGGACCCTGAAAGGAAACTGATGCTCAGAAAGAGGATGCTCATCGGAAGCATGACCAAGAGACAGTTTTGGGAGGAGGCCGCAGAAGGCAGAGTGAGGTGATGGGGACGATGTGACAGGCACCTGGAGCTATGAAAGTAGCTGAGACACGCATGCATGCACACACACACACACACACACAGACACACACACCAGGCCTTGCTTCCCAGAGAGATGAGGGTAGTGTTCTAACGAATAGTTCTTTGCTTTTATAAGCGCTTTCCTCTATCTTTTTTTTCTCCACTGGGATGAGAATGGGAGAGCCTGAATCTTAACGGAAGCAAGCGTCCGGGGAACCCTAATCCCTAGTTCTTGGGCTCCCAACAAGAGTCACCAAGAAAGCTGTTGTGAGCCACCTGGAAGTCAGGACCGCTTGGCCTCCAGCCTGCAATGACAATGAAGCTCAGACTGTGAATCAAGGAAGAGGGGAGTGTCATGGTAAAGGATGGCTAGAGCAGACTCTCCCCCATCCTCTAAGAAACTCAGCGATGGAACCAGGAGTCTAGCGCTCTTTGCACCCCGCTGGAAATCTAGTCTAGTGGGAAACGATTGTCTTCTTCGGAGAGACAGAGCACATTAAAAAGAAGCATTTGATTCCTTTAGCTATATAGAAACAGTCCTTGACCTTTCTAAATTTTCTCTTCAGTTGAAATTAGCAAAAGAAACTCCACTTACACCTTCAATATTGGATTTTTAATATTGCAAAATTTCTAATTACAACCTGGGCCTAATAGAGCTAGAAGGAACTAGGTATTGTCTAAAGTGAGGGCTTCTCCCTGACCCTCCCCACCCCAGTCACCATCAGCAATTCTGTCCCCACCCTTACCTTGGTTGATATTCACTACACTGTCCTCTCTGAGGAATGCTTTCTTTCCCTTTTTACTGAGTCTCCCAGACTAGTAAATTCTCCGGTTTCTGGACTCAAATATATTAAGTGTTCAAAGAAATAGTTCTTTAGCACTGTTTGGAATCCAGTGGCTAAAGGGATAGTGTGGAGTGTGACTGGGGGTGGTGGCCGAACGTGGGTAATCAGGGAGAGGAAAGAGGAACGGGTCATAAAAATAGGCAGACCTACTCCAATGAGGACAGTGCATCCCGCTGTCATTTCTTAATCTGAACTTCTGCAAACTCTTAAAAAAAAGGGGGGGGGCTGCCTTCCACGTTCCCAACCTCTAAATTAGTGAAACCAGATTGTCCTAATAAGACCTTTTTGTTGGAAACACATGTAGTCATAAAAAGGTAGACGGAAAGTCAATTAGACACGCGCGCGCACACACGACACATTCACAAGCCGGTGCTAAGTGTATACCGCGCGCAGCTGGCTCCCGGGCCCCGGCGGGATGCAAATGCAGAACAGCAGCGCGGGAAATCGATTTGTCACAAAGGGAGAGGTGTAAACGCAGCGAGAAGGAATTGCCTGCCCAATCCACCAGTCACACTCTCCGGGGACCTTGCCCGGCCAACTTCTCTTCGCCAGAGGAACGCCCGGGAGAGCGGGAACATTTTCTCGGGCGCTCCCAAGTTGGAATTCGCGTCACGATAATATCAACCCCTAGAGTCGCAGCGTTTGCAATAATCCTTGCGCCAGAAATTTTCTTACTCAGCACCACCCTGGGACTCTGGAGCCTGTGTTGGCAGGAAATTTGGGCTTCAGTTATCTCGTTGAAGAGGGGAGGCAATGAAATATATCGTTTTAAGGTTAGCCTGGAAACATTTCTCTTTAGAGGAGGAGGTGAAATACAGGATCAAGGTGCATCAGTGAATCCCCAAAGCCGAAAGTCAAGGCCTGCCAAGAGGTGGTGATTTCGGTTTATTTTACATGCAGAGGTAGGGGCCCGGGTGATCTCTTTCTCTTGGAATTTTGGAGAAATTGATAGTCCAGTGACTCCTACCCGCTTTTGGGTGAAGAACGACTTGGGAATTTGAAGTGTGGGGTGATAGGCCAGTGAAGTACGAAGCCCTAGGCTGCCAGTACTCACTGGGGCTCCAGATCCCCCAACTCTGGAATGCAGTGAATTTCCACCTCCTCCGTGCTTCGGAGCGCCTCTCCCGAGTGTTAGACGTCGCGCAGTCCCGCGTTTTGTCTGAAAGACCTAACCCCGGTGCGCTCAGGTCAGAGCGCCAGGGCTTCAGACAGACAGCCATGGGTCCCACGGGTCCCTATAGTTCTTTCCTCTTCCCAGGACTGTCATTTTAGATTTTACAACACGAGGGAATAAATCATCTCCAAATCAACAAGACGTCACCTTAACCCCCCAACACCCCCTGCAAAAAAACAAAACAAAAAAACAAATTCAATTCAGCAGCACCTATTCCACCGACCCAGCTTTGATTGCCTCTCCCAGCCAGGAACCTTTCCCACGAAGTAACAACCTGTAGATTTTCAACGATGACAATCTCTAAACCAATTTGATTGTTTATCTTAAAAGGCATGTTTCTTTTACAATCCGTCTCCTACACACTGTTTTCCTCTCCATCCATCAGCCTACCACACCACCAACGCAGACCCCTAACTCCTGGAAAACCTTCCTCCTTGGCGGAAGCGCGAGGGCAGCAGGTACTGGGTTGTCCCAAAGGTCTGTGCCTGCCTGTGCCTGCGTTGCGACCTCCAGCACGCCTCCAGTTCCAGGGCCGGGCCCACTTTCAA